TCAAAAGAGTGTTTTTACCACAACAAACCTTAAACAAAGAAGCACCATTTTAAAAAAAAGAACAACCAAGCAGTCATTAGTTCCTGTATTTAACTAGTTGTTTTTCATGACATTGTGAAAAGGCTAATGCAAAGAGGAAATGTAGACTCTGCCCAGTCTCACTTTCAAACCGCTCGATCTATTAAACTAACTTTCATCTCAGTTTAAGTTACCAATGAGTGTTTTTACCAACCACAAACCTTTGCAACAAAAAAACCCCCAGAATAATCAAATAGTCATCATTAGTTCATGTTTTAAACTCGAGTTGTTTTTCATGACATTGCACATCAGCTGACGAAAAGAATGACAAAATTACTCTGCTCAGTTTCACTTTCAAACCACTCAATTCCCAGTTGAAGGTGGAGGAATTCAACAACAAACTGCAGGTTGGTACCAGAGTCAAAGCTCCGTCCCACACTCATTATGTTCTTGTACTGATCTGTGTCGTGTCCTTAAACTCGCTCTTCTGCTTTCAAGGTAAACAGCTTTTATTTAGAATCACTCTCAGTCACATTAGCAGCTGTGTCGATTATAGACTATCACAGCTGATCAACTAGATTTGATTCACATGTTGGTAAATTAATTAAATTCACTGTGAACTTTTTGAAACTGTTTGAAATTGTAGCTTAAAATGAGTGACTTCTTTCTTTTAAATTTAACGCCTTTACTGTGGTTTATTTTCAGTAAAAATCAAGTATGATCGTATAATCAAAGTAAAAGTTCAGTCTAATCTAAAAACACAAGTTTTATATGTGTGTGTTGAGATTTCATGGAGTTATTATGTCTGCAGGCTGATTGTGAAGAGGAGACAGAAACCAGCCAAATCAAGATGTTTCACTCTTCAGACTGTGATTTTGCTCTCGTCCATCCTCTGTGTGCATCGTGGGCTTCTTACTCTGTTTCTCTGTGGATTTTTATCCTCTGTTTCGTTTTAGTCAAAGGTAAATAAATCTGTTTCTGTGAGACTCTACTTTTAGTTCACTTTAAATAATTATATTTAACTGATAACTAAACTGTATGTGTTGATCCAGTTTCACATGTTAAAAATATTTCCAATGTGACTTTTTAATGCTCACATGTAATTTATAAACCGTCTATTTGTCTTTAATAATCACCGAGGGGACAGAGTGTAAGATTCCACCAAGTTTCCCGTGACCATCATTACAAACAGTTTAAGTTCCCTTTAATTCTCTTTGGGACACATTGAAGATTGTGAACTCTCTCATTGTGCATAGAGCAGCAGAAGGGAAAATCCTGATGAAACTATAAACAGTACTTCCTGTTTCGTCATTTGTGAACTTTAATTTGAATTCAAAGAACAAAATCATTAAATAAATGAAGTCTGTTGAAGCTGCCACAGTATGTCAGAGAGTGAATCTGGACGTTTTGGAAGGTTGAAAAACTGAACCAGAACTGAACCAGAAACTGATCTCAGAAAAATGAAACACACTTTAATAGTTGATCTTGTTTTAATAAGTAACTAATAATGAACTCCATTAATGGCACGACTTTAATAAAGGCGCCCAGCAGCAAAGCTCTCTGATGGTTTCATTATTTCCTTCATTCTGAGGAAAAATCATTGTTTCATGTTTGTCACAGCAGAACTTCATCAGATTGTTGTTGTTGTTATTGTAGTTTGTAGATGTGTGTTTGTTCTGTGTTATATGCAGCTATTGATTTAAAAATGCAGTCAAGGCTTTTTCAAGGTAGTCTCAGTCAAGGTAGATTCTGTCCACTTCAAAATAAAAGAGAACATCACAAGCCTGATACCTGCATCCGAGAAGCTTCTTCAGTTCTAAGGTCAAATGGTGGAGAGTCACTCCCACTAGGTTTATATCTGGGACTCTCCACCATTTGACCTTAGAACTGAAGAAGCTTCTCGGATGAGAGGTGAAACGTCTTCAAGCAACTTAAAGAAGTCCAGATGCTTTTCTTTGCAAGCTCCTTTGACTACGATGACCTGGATGACTGAGAACCTTCACAGACATATTGCCGTACATTTTGGGAGGAACACCCTTCAACTGGTGCGGGAGTATGAAAGGGAATCAAGGAAACTAGCGGATTATAGGAACCATCTCCGTTTCAACCTAAGATGTAGACAAAGCAGAGTTGTTCCTAAGAGCCTGCGCCTTGGATCCACTGTCAGGGGATACAGAGCAGACTTGATTCTACAGAGAGCACAAAATCACCTTTTAAGTGAAAGGATAAGACAGGTCCATTTCACCATAGATGCCCTCCAGATCAAGATCAGCCAGACCCTGCAAGAACTGGAAATCCTTCTACCCTCTCCAATCTTAGAAGAGGTTTACAAGTTTGTGGACAAGGCTCAGCGGGCCCAACACTCTAAAGGAAAAGAAAGACAGGAAATTTCACACCTTGCTTTCAAAAACACACACTACTCATCCTGAATCTACACAACCCAGAGAAGAAAACACACCTGAAGTCAGTCAGGAGAAATGGGTGAAGAACTTTTCAGACAGGAATCTCACTGAACCTGAAAAGAGAGTATTAGCCAAAGGACTCAATTTTGCCATCTCTCCACAACAGTTGCCCATAGTGGACCTCATCACAGCCACGGAATCTGCCATACGGATTAATAAATTATCACAGACAGAAGCAGAGCAAATCAGGATGAAAGTCTCAGCCACGCTCTCCAGTGCCAAAGTCCCTCCATCCAACCTCACAATACAGGAAAAGAAGGCCGTTGCTTCCCTGAGCAAAGACCACAACATCACTGTTTTACCAGCTGATAAGGGAAGATGCACCGTGGTCCTAAACACTACAGATTACCATGCAAAGATCACTACTCTCCTCAGTGACGACAATACCTACGAAGCCCTAAAGCGAGACCCCACAAGCAGCTACAAAAAGAAAGTTATAGCTTGCCTTCAAGACTTTGAAAAGGACAAAATTATTGACCGCCTTACATATCACCGCCTTTACCCAGGAGATGCCATACCCTGCATCTATGGACTTCCGAAGATCCACAAGGAAGCTGTCCCACTCAGACCCATAGTCAGTAGCATAAACTCGGCCACGTATAACATTGCAAAACACCTTGCTACCATCCTTGCGCCTCTCGTGGGGAACACCCCACACCACATCAAGAACTCCACTGACTTCACCGAAAAGGTTCAGAAACTTACCCTGGATCCAGATGAAACCATGGTGTCCTTTGATGTAGTCTCTCTCTTCACTTGCATACCCACCACGGAGGCCGTGGAGACGGTCAGAAAACGATTACAAGAAGACAGCTCCTTGGAGGACAGGACCAACTTCACACCCGATCAGATCTGCACACTGTTAGACCTCTGCCTCACCACTACATATTTCAAGTACAATGAAGGCTTTTACAGACAAAAACATGGCTGTGCCATGGGCTCCCCCGTGTCACCTATTGTAGCCAACCTTTACATGGAGGAAGTGGAAAGGAAGGCTCTTGGCTCTTTCAAAGGAAGAGTACCCAGCCACTGGTACAGATATGTGGACGACACCTGGGTCAAAATCAAGACACAAGAAGTGGAATCCTTCACTGCGCACATTAACGCTGTGGATAAAAACATCAAGTTCACCAGGGAAGACACAAAGGATAACTGTTTGCCTTTCCTGGACTGCGCTGTGCACATTGAAGAGAATGGCAAACTCAACATTGAAATTTACTGGAAGCCCACACACACGGACCAGTACCTCCTTTTTGACTCCCATCACCCTCTGGAACACAAACTTGGAGTAATTAGGACCCTACACCACCGGGCAGAACATGTTCCCTCTCAACCTGAAGGAAAAAAGAAGGAACACACACATGTAAAGGAAGGACTCAAAACGTGCGGCTATCCTAAATGGGCGTTTTTAAAGTCAGCAAAGAGGCACAGAAAAGAAGACCAGACACCAGCGAAGGAGGATAAGAAGGACAGACGCAACAACATTGTCATCCCCTATGTAGCCGGTGTATCAGAAAAACTCAGGAGAGTTTTCTCCAAGCATGACATCCCAGTGTATTTCAGACCCAGCAACACACTCAGACAGAAACTGGTCCACCCGAAAGACAAAACGCCAAAACACAAACTTAACAACGTGGTGTATGCTGTACAGTGCAGTGAGGAATGCCCAGACCTCTACATTGGAGAGACCAAACAGCCACTTCACAAGCGCATGGCACAACACAGAAGAGCCACCTCCACAGGACAAGACTCAGCAGTCCATCTGCATCTTAAGGATAAAGGACACTCTTTCGAGGATGCCAATGTTCACATTTTGGACAGAGAGGACAGATGGTTTGAAAGAGGAGTGAAAGAAGCCATCTATGTCCACTGTGAGCGACCATCTTTGAACAGAGGCGGGGGTTTACGACACCAACTCTCTGCCATCTATAATCCAGTTTTGAGATCCCTTCCCAGACGCCTTAACGCCCACTCACATCCTGGGCCATCTGACCTCAGGAATTCACATGACAAGGTGGGGCCAGGTTTCACAATGAACACACCCGAAACTCTGGCTGATTGGGTCCCACACCCAATTTCACACCTTGGCTCAGGTGATTAGAGGATCATCAGGGGGTCCATTTGTCCCTCTGTGGGGGTCACTCCCACTAGGTTTATATCTGGGACTCTCCACCATTTGACCTTAGAACTGAAGAAGCTTCTCGGATGAGAGGTGAAACGTCTTCAAGCAACTTAAAGAAGTCCAGACGCTTTTCTTTGCAAGCTCCTTTGACTACGATGACCTGGATGACTGAGAACCTTCACAGACATATGCAAACTATCATGTTGTCCATGTGATCCCAGACAGGAAACAAGACTTTAACAAACAGCTGAGGGAATCTTCTTTTTTGTTGTTGTTGTTGTTGTTGTTGTTTTGGAACACAAAATATTCACGTAACAATATCATCTACTTCTACTGTTTTCTTATTTGTCCTTGCAGGAAAATCTCATCTGGTGTGTCCATCTCAGATTGTAGCCATGATGGGTGATGATGTTGTTCTTCCATGTCAGCTTAAACTTGCTGTTGATGCAAACTCTGAGACTGTGAACTGGATCAAACCTGGTGCGGACCCAGATGTTGTTCATCTTCATAAAGATGGACGGCTGGTGTATGAAAATCAAAACCCATCTTATCACTTTCGTACGCGGGTCTTTGTGGATGAACTGATCAAAGGAAACGTCTCACTCAAAATATTCAAAGTGAAACTCTCTGATGAAGGAACGTACAGATGCTTCATTCCCTGGATACGTGAAGAAGCTTCCATTGTTCTCACTGTTGGTGAGTCAAAACGTTTAAACAAACCTGATTTAAAATATAAAGAAGCTTTATAATCAGTGGAAAGATGTTTACAATTCCTTCTTCCCCCTTCATCAGCTTCAGCATCTACACCCGTCATAAAGGTGATGTCAAATGTCAGCAGCAGGGTGGTGTTACAGTGTGAGTCTGCAGGCTGGTATCCAGAGCCTGAGCTGCTGTGGTTGGACGGTGAGGGAAACCTCCTCTCTGCTGGACCTACAGAGACCCTCAGAGGTCCCGATGACCTCTATACTGTCAGCAGCAGAGTGACTGTAGAAAAGAGACATAACAACAACTTCACCTGCAGAGTCCAACAGAGGAAAACCAACCAGACCAGAGAAACACACATACATGTTCCAGGTAATAATGACTCACATTCACAAACTATGTCATTATTTTGACATTAGTTTGTCACATTCATTTTTCCCTCTAGCGGTAAAATCACACACACTTCCTCTAATCCACAATATGGTTGGTTGATTTTGTCCTTTAAGGTGAAGACATCAGAGATGCCACATTAATTATTACTGTTGGAGCAGCTTTCTTGGTGTGTATTATAGTGGCATTTGTTACATGGAAACTGAAGCAAAAGCAAAGTGGTGAGTCAGAAATTTATTTTTAGTTATTGTCAATATTATCTGCAATAAGTGATCACAATCACATGTGTAAAGTGTATAAGTAAATTGATATGTCATTTGATACAGAGGAACAGAGGAACACCAACCAGAGCACAGAGACACACATACATGTTCCAGGTAATAATGACTCACATGTAAGTCTTGATGCGTGCTCAATTATCCAGGTAACTAAATCCCAAATAGTTGATTCTGTTCATCTGAACGTAGCGTTTTGTGGGAGAAACGTTTCATCACTCATCCAAGTGACTTCTTCAGTCTCAGCTGACTGCAGGTTTCCCCAATCTTATAAACCAGAGGTCCCCAATCCCAGTCCACGAGGGTCGGTGTCCCTCCAGGTTTTAGATGTGTCCCTGATCCATCACAGCTGATTTAAATAGATAAATTACCTTCTCAACGGTCGTGTCCAAATTCATGGGCTGCATCCTCCTGAGGGCACATTTGTAGACCGATTACGTCACAGCGACGCTGTCCAAATTCGTAGAATGTAGCCGACAAATGCATCCTCCTTTTCCCCGAATTTGAAGGATGGGTCAGGTGTGTCCTTCGTAGCCCACCATATCCTAGAATTCATAGCCAAACTCCAGTTTCCGGCAAGTTTTAAAATTACTGTTATTAATCTTTCTGGGTCACAAAATAAACTTTTAACAGGCGAGAATGTGGGTGTGTAAACTTGAAATATCTGCTTGGTTTATCAAGATATCACATATTTGCAAAAGTCCTTCGACATTTTCAGAGACGTCTGCTACCCACCAGCTCAATAGCTTGCCGGGAGCTCGAGGGTCACTGATGCGGCTGAGAACGGCACAACTCCCAGTACATCATTTTCAGATCACTGCGGACTTTCGCTACTCAGGTTAAACGTGATATATAAGTCACTTAGACAACCTAAAATGTTATTGTTTGGCTTTTTTCAGTGTTTTATTTGTTCGTGAGAAAATCGGTTTGGCTGAGATTAAAGTTATTAGATTAGATAAAATAAAACTTTATTAATCCATTGGGTGGGTTCCTCTGCAGCCCATGAATTTGGACACGACTAACACTCGTGAACTGGGATTGGGGACCCCTCTTATAAACAGTACATTTGCATAATGACTGAAACCAGCCAACTGAATGAACAATGGGCTGTGAGGTCAGTTCCTTGATCACGTAAGGAAAAAAAACAACTTTTTTGCCTGTTTTTTTTTTTCTACTTTGAAATAACTTGTGACCAGTTGTAAATTTTTTTAAATCTTGTTAGACAATATAAACCATATCCACTGTTCACTGTATCAGTCCTGCTGTAGTGGTTGTTTGCTTGCTGAGTATTCCTGTTGTATTGAAGTTGAAACAAAAGAAAACTGGTTCTTAATCAATTTATCTTGCATCAGATACATCTATATGTACAGGTGCTGGACATTTGACAATTTTGTTTTTATGTAAGATTCGATTTCCCTTTTATTCACTTTGTCAAACTTTAAATGAGAACATCAAATTCCTGTGACACTGTTTAATGCAGCTTCCTCATTAGCACATATTTAAAAACCTTAACATTTTTATGGGGATTTCTTCTGTACTGAAAAATGCTGGAAAATCCTTTCAACCCTTTAAACTTTGATGGTAAAATTGAAGTGTCGATGATTCATTTTCTGATTTACATTAATACTACTCTGTGTTTTCAAATTTAAAATGATGTAGTCAACATATTTTATAATATATTGAATAGGTGTACATCTTTATTGCTGCAGTTAAACCAGGCTCTGATTAAGGCTTAATGCATTTCTATTCCTGCAAAATGACCTTTTTTAAACACTGTTATTTAAATCACTGTTTGCATCACAAGTTATTTCCTGTGGGGAAAACAAACATGATTCCAGCAAAAGTACAAGAGTAATGGAGGAAGGTGTTTTACTAGGAAATCTATTGTAAGGAATCAAAAACAAAAGGAAAAATTACTGAAGAGGAGCCCCTGGTGGACCCATCGAGGACTATATTTAAAACTGACTCAAAACCTCATTATAATTTTACACACATGTGTTTGTTATTTAAGTGAAAAAGAAAATGAAATAATACTGTTTTCATGTTATTCTATTCATATTTCTGATCATTACTTTTTACACTTAATTCCAAGATTACAGCAAACGATGTCCAAGTAAATATTTATATGAATGGTAACTCTGTCATTTATTTGTATTTGTAGACCACATGAACGATGGAAGTGAACAGACAGAAGAAGAAAATAAGGACATAACTCTCTTTAATGACAACCAGACAGTAACATCAACACAGGGACTGCTGGAAAGTGAAAAAAGGTGGCACGAGTCGTTTCAAAGATTCGACTGAATGGCCAAAATGACTTTTTCAGTTATGACCCCTCACTGCCTGTTTTATAAATTGTAAAAAAAAAAAAAGAAATCATTTTTATTCCTCTGCTTTTAAGTTTGACTGAGTGATGTCTTCTCACCTTGTATTTATTGTTGTTTTTATTTGTTGATCTCTTTTTTGATATCTGTTGTTTTAAAATCAGTGCTCTATAAATCAAACTGAATTTGACTGAATTTATTTTCTTAGTGTTTATATAATCGTATCACTTCTCCCTTGTTGGTCGTTTTGTTTGCACATCAAAACAAGTTGCTTTTGGCACTTGAAACCTTTTTTTCTACAACCAGTTGTGATTGTTGCTGCTTGTAGATCTGTCCAAGAATCAGGTGTAATTCATAAATAATTTACAAGTAGAAATTAGGGGTGCAACGATATTCCTATCGATATTGAACCGTTCGATACAGTGCTTTCGGTTCGGTACGCATATGTATCGAACAATACAAAATTTGTAATTTATTTTATCAACTTTCCTTCTGACGATGCGGTCTGTGTTGAGCGCTCAGTGAATCTGCGTTTGACTACTCCGCCTAGGCTGCACTGTCGAGCGCAGATCCACTGAGCGCTCCACACAGACAGCATAGTCAGGAGGAAGAGCGCAGGGCAAGCTAGCGAGACAGAAGTTAAGCTCTCCTTGCAACATGGACCTCCCCCACCCTCATTCAGATCTGGCGTTTGGAATTATTTTGGTTTTCATGTGACGTATGACCCTGAAGGTAAGCGCGTCATGGACTAAAGTAAAACAGTATGTTGGATGTGCCACGCAATGCTCAATTACATGGGTGGGAACTAGTGTGTTAGCGCAGTTAGCTCGTTAACGTGTTGGCCGTCTAGCCCCACGCACGGGCAATCAGGGGTAGCTCGTTAACGGAGATTTGCCGTGTTGTGGCGTTAAGGTCATTTTAACAAGGTTAACCTGAAAGCACTAGTGGGAAAACAACGAATATGACTGCACATTTACATCATCCTAGTGCAAAGACAAGTGGAAGCAGATGAAAACAACAAGCATGCATCCTACAAACTTTAGCCGAGTCATTTAGACAGCCGTTAGCACATGATTCTTCTTATGGGGACCTGATATGTTTAATATGCTGCTGAGAATATACCCCAGAAGAAGCGGATAGTATAGCTTTTATTTTGGAAAGAGACATTTCTCTGTAATAAACTCTCTTTTCCAAAGATGAGTGATTCCTCAATCAGATACAGGGCTCGCAATATCGCTAGCCCGAAGTCCTGGGGCAATGGCGCGAACTGTGTATAGAGAGCGACAGTACTGATTGGTGAGTGATAATAATTTGCGCACCAATTCCTCTGACATCGTCTTATCAATCGTTAGCTTACTATGCAAACATGACAAGTGAAATCTCCCGCAGCAAGCTTAAACATGTGAGAGGTTGATCGCGCAGAGAATCGCTGAGCTTATGTGAGTGCGTGTGTAAAAGCAGCAGGAGTGAAAGAGGGTCTTTCTTCAGTCAGCGAACAGGGTGCTATCTCTGTTTGCTGACAGATCATTTCAGAACATTTTTGTTTAGGTTTCCAAAATAAAAAATAAAAATAAAGTGTGCGTATGTATGTACATATATGTACTTGTGTGTGTAGATATATATGTATGTATATGTATGTGTGTCTGTTACTTGTAGTTATTACTGCCTGTTACCTGTGGTAATGCAATTTATAATTTATATATTCTGTATTCAGTTATGAAGGCTCTAATTGTTGGTTGCGAGCTGCCGCTTAGATGCTTGTATCTGCCCAGGGCTGTTGATGGGTCTGTATGCAATGATGGGCGTAGCTGCGGGAAGTTTATTGTTTTTTTGTTGATGAGTGAGTATAGGGGTGGGATTTAATAAGTTTTCTTCGTCCCACTCCTTTTTCAGGCAAGTTTTGTTTTTTGTTTTGTGTATTTTATGTTCAATATAGGTATTTGTTGTGCCTGAAAATGAATAAATAAATGAATGAATGAATGAATATATATTTGACTACGATGACCTGGATGACTGAGAACCTTCACAGACAGATATATATTTCAGTTCTGCTGAGCCAAATAAGACAGGTCAGGGTGAAGAAGTGACAGCCAAAGAAAAGCCTACCACAAAACGGAAAAGTTATGACAAATCAGACTATAAGGCAAAAAGAAAGTGCAGCTTCATGGTTTCATGGACAAAAGAATTTCTGTGGCTGCAATATGATGAGCTAAATAACCAGGGCTGCACATAAGTGGTCCGCAGGTGTGCATTCGCTGTCAAAATAAAAAACACGCACAAGGGTTAGGGTTAAATTTAAAAACTGTTTTTTTTTTTTTGTTTTTTTTTTTCTTTTTTAAATGGCATCAGAAACAGCAGTATGCGACATTACGTGATGGCAGAGCTTCAGTTCATCCTTTGTCATTTTTTTTTTTTTTTTTTAATAAATAGGACAGGGGGAATGAATGAGAGAGAGAGGGGAGAGAAAGAAAGAAAACCAAAGGGGAGAAGAGACGGTGAGAAGGGGGGGAAGAGAGACAAAAAAAAAAAAAAAACTCCTGGGTCACCTGTATGGAGAAAAAAACAAACAAACAAACAAACAAAAACAAACAGAGGAGACAGCAAACAACAAAGAGCAACATAATAATAGAGAAAACAAAGCACCATCACAATAAACTAGCTAGTCATAGATATCAGTATTTACTAAGTAATAAACGATATTGTGCAGCACGCAAGATAGACAGCGCACAGTGTGCTTTGAGGCAGCAGCCAAGAAAGCTTTAGTCCGCGTCTGTGAATACCCATGTGTGCATACCTGTGTGGATCAGCATGCTTGCATTCCAAAGGTTTCTCCATGTAATGATCTGCTAGGGAGTGTGGGGGGGCCACAGCCCCGTCCTCCAGGGTGTGAAGCGGGTATGGAGGAGATCAAAACTCCAGACATCCAGAGGCCCCCAGAACACAAGAGACCATGGAAGACCAACAGAGGGGCAGCCGCGCCACTGTCCCAGTAAGAGCTGAGGAGAGTCCCAGATGAGGGCTCGCCCAGCAGCCGCGGAGCAGAAGTCAGGGGGAGTTGCAGTGACGCGCCCGTGAGCTCCGCCGGCCCCAGCTGCGCCTGAGTGACCGAGCCCTAGGCCGAGAGGCCGGGGGCACCCCACCTCCAAAGGGGCCCGAGCGAGCCCCAGGCCCCAGGCCCCGACAAGCGGCCGCCAAGGAGTGAGCCGGTGTGTACCCGGACGCCCACCCCCAGACACAAAGAACCACCAACACACCGACACCTGAGGGAGTCCGCCACCGGCAGGGAAGTGGTGGTGGGTGGAGATAGGCCTCCAAACCTTGGAGGGCCTGAGGTGTCCCCAGAGAGGTGGCGTCTGATACCCAACCTGACATATAGACACAGACATACAGGCACACACAGACACAAACATCCATTCCCACCCTCATGCTCTCATATGCACTCACTCCACACTCAACCAACGTGGAGACAGACATAAAGAGACGCTGTACACACAATCACACTCCCCAAGCGTACTCTACAAACCGGGTCTAGGTACCCTTGCCCCTGGAGGGGGAATTGCACCCAGACCCAGGTGGTGTTACCCTTTTCCCTGCGGTGGGGAGAGGCAGACCACCCCGACTCCGCAGCAGCAGGGAGGCCCCACACCCCAGACCACAGTCGGACGGCCAACTCCTCCTACTAGCCCTCCCGCTCCAGCAGGCCGCAGAGAATGGGGGTGGGAGAAGACTCCAAACCTCCCTCCACCCGCTCCTTGTAGTGTTGATGCATATGTGTTCTAAGGTGCAATTAAAACCCAGGAGGGCATGGAGCTACCTGCCAAGGAGCAGCAGGTAAGCGCATAGTCCCTCCTGCTAACCCTCAATGACTAAGTGTATTTAAAATTGAGAGGTGGGCAACGACGTCAGGGGTGAGGTATACACCCTGATGGTGATTTGGACTCCGTGATTGTGCCCACCCCCAAGATCCTATATGTATGTGTAATGAGAGTGTGAATAATGTGAATGTCTAAAAAAAAAAATAATAAATTTAAAAACTGTACTTTTGAGTTAAAATATATATTTATAATTTTAATAAATGACAAATTAAAAAGGCATGAACATTTTATTTTGTATCGAAAAAATATCGAACCGTGACACCAAAGTATCGAACCGAACCGTGAATTTTGTGTATTTGTTGCACCCCTAGTAGAAATACCAAGCAGCAGAGAATCATTTTCCTTCATTTTCATTTAGGATCTTAAACAGTCGGTAAAACTGAAGGAGAGAGGAGCGAGCAGCAGCAGGACATAACTGTTAACAAACATAACTCACGCGAACCTGCAGGGAACAATACTGCAGTAACACAGTAATACACGTATTTATCACATATTAAACTAAGTAGAGGAAGCCTCAATGTAAACTATTAATCAGGAGTCACAAGTTGATCTTCAGCTTTGGAAACTTTTTTTTTTTACCTCTGAACTTAATTCATGTTTTCATTTTTGATGATTTTGCACACAGAATACAAAAAACAAAAGTACAACAAATTTATCATGTGGAACTTCAAGTACTGAGTTGTGTTAAACAGAATTCAGTATTTACTGTTAAACTACTGTAACTGCATTGATTTTTAACCCAGAATAGTTATTATATCCACCTGCAGACTGATGAAAGGAGTGAAATGTGTTTAAAAATTGTTAATAGCTGTAAATATCATAATCTTATGTGATGTTAAATTACATGTTGTTCCTTTTTATTCACCCTGAAGATTCAGCAAGCTTCTTTGTGTAATTCATGTTTTGTTTTTGCTTTCATCACCTCCAGATGACCATGAGATTTAAAAAGGTGCTCACTGTACGCAGGGTTTTTACCCATTTAGAGTCACTCAAAGTCTTTACTGCAGGGGTTTATTCATCCTGACAAACTAGAGCTTACCACTAGAGGGAGCTACATATCAATCATTTCTGCTTCCTGCTGCTCAGCATAAAGGAAACACAATCTAAAGACGATGTGACTGCTGTCAGTAGATGTGCTCGTGTTTGTGATTGGTCAGATGTTGCCAACTCCATTGCTTCACATGAATGTGCTACTACCTAGTTGGGAAACCCTCGGTTGACTTATTGAGTCCTCGTGTCCTGATCAATTAACACAAATATATACACAACTTAATCAAAAATAA